CTGGCTCTGCTGCGTGTACCGGAGTTGTTTGTCTCAGCGAGTGACAATAAACATAATTTGATATCAGTCATGTCAGATTTCTACCCCAAAAGCACTTGAGAGACTAGAGACTACTAGAAATAGGATTATTTTTTTAGATTTAATTTTTATTATGTTAATATTTACAGTATTAATAACTTACCATTTTTATTAACTCAATGAAGCTGAAGAAATGGAGGGGGGGAATACTTCTCTCTTAATGCTACTGCTCCTGGACTTCTGATTTTCTTCCCACAGTATGATGATTGTTATTTAATTCTTCAGTAAGTTTCTTGTGATTCTGTAAATGAGGATGGTTTTTTTAAAAGCTTTTTAACATACTGATAAATGTTAGATATGTATGCGTGCCATAACTGTTAAAAATGAATATTACTGCATAACACTTAGTTGCAGACATCTCTTGTAATCTGTCCCAGGTGTTGTGAGCCAATTTAAAAAAGAGAATTTATTTTGAGAAATATTCGTGTATGAAGATGATAAAGGTAGTGAATCATTATATATACACATCTTGTTTATACAGTAACTTAAATTTATTTCTGTGACTTGCAGGAAGAAGCTTCTCTGCCCAATTTGCTAGTTGTTTGTGGGGATCATGGGATGTCTGAAACAGGTAGTCATGGTGGTTCTACAGACGGAGAAGTGCACACACCACTGCTGTTTATCAGCTCTGCTTTTGAAAAGAGAAATGGTAAGAATCAAAGAAGCTTGACCTTTTTTCGAACACGTGGCCATCTCTAGTTTGTATTAGCTCTAGAATTCTTCCTGAAAATACTTTGGTTTGTTCTACAGATATCTGGCAAGGCTGAGAGATGACAGCAGTGAAAACATGGCTATTTATTGTGAAGCGTTAAGGAAAGGATATGGAGCATAAGTGTATTTACTGTTAACTTTAAATCATTGATGTGAATTTATCTGTTTCTGAAACTCATTTTCTACTTGTATAATGTAGCTTAAGGTAAGAGGCAAGAAGGGAATGATGTGGTAGAGAATCTCTAGTCTAACTTGAAGAGTCTTGCTTAAATAAACTCCTTGACTGAGTGAATTGGTGAAATGTAGTTACACCAGGAGTGAATATTTTCTTCAACAATAATACTTCCTTCTGCGTTTCATTCTGCCTCTTGCTTGTTTCCATCTGATTTCCTTGCTTTCAAAGCCTGTTTGCAGAACCTTGCCTTGTTTATCTTGCTGGAGGTTTCTGCAGCACAGTGGAAGTACATTTATCTGGCTGTCATTTATGAAGCTGTTATCCTGCTGCAATAGAAAGCATTGCTTGAGGAGTCATTGAAGTCTTTTCAGATATAAAAACAAAACAAAGTCAAGAGCTGACCAGAGCTCTTGGGGAAGTTTTTGCTTTATAAATTTCACAGGTACGTGTTGACAACCAGGCTGATGAGTGTAGATTCTGTAAATGGAATCTCATGTTCATTGGGATTAGTTTCTGTTAGGTGTAAACTGAATGTGCAATTTTTACAGTGCAGGGAAATACATCTTTTCACCTGTCTTTTGGGATTGAGTTTTTGATTTCTAATGATGCCTATGTAAATATCGAGCACCTTGCTTCTCACTGCTACTGTAATCAGAATTCTAGTGACTGCTCCCTATGATCCTACTGTAAACAAAATGTACTGTGGTTAATTTGGTAGACCTCAAAATAGTAACCCTGTGGGCTTTTTGCATTTAGTATGCTGTCAGAGTATTACTTGTGTAGTCTTCTACAGAGATATGTCACCTGTGATTGGCTAAATGCATTTGGTAGTTTGGGGTTTTTTTAACCAGTTAAGAACTTGGCTTTAAAGATGAAAACTGGAAACTGCTGACATACAAGCACTTATGCAAAGAGGCTTTAGGGATTATAGATGGTGTTTTGTACAAGTATGGGATCAATCAGAGCTAGATAAGAAATGAGAGAAGTTCTAATGCTCTTAAAGGGAGCCTTGAGAATAGTAAAGACTGCATATAGAATTCTTTTGGTACTGTACTTAAGTCAGAACACTCAATGCCTGGAGTTACAAAGAGAGCACAGTAAAAGCATAATAGAAAAACACTGTTATGTAACTAGTAAAGCACACAAAGAAACAATTGGCAAGACAATCTTAAATAAAAGGTTACTTATATTAGTGAAATCATTCATGTGTGTAGATGTCTGTGGGACTGAAGGCTAATCCTGATAACTGCAGTAAGGTAATAGGATCCTGAACAGAACCCTTTAAAAATCATGGGATTTGCCTGCATGGAGCTGTGGATTTGGGCCTCAGGATTCTTTACCTGAGCTCTTAATTCTGTTTGCCTAGCCCCCTGACATTAATTAAATCTCGAGCTGTTGTCAGTATATTGAGGAGCTTCTAGAATGCCGCCAGCATTATTTTAGATTCTCATTCTACATTCATGCATTAAATTAGTCTACTGTAGTCTTTCTAGTCTCTCTAATGTAAAAGTTATCAAACCCTCTTAGAATGTAGGCTGCAACTTGATATTAAGGTGATCTCCTGGACCATATATTTTCTTACTTGTACTTGTGTAACATTCATGTGGTGTTCACAGTAGCTGCTAGCATTGAAGAGTGCTATTTGCTGAGAATTGAATAAATTTTGGTCTAACAACAGGAGAGGATAGAAGCTGGAAAAGATCACTCAGCTTTCTGTATATCACTTGAAATAGCTGATCTAACACCAATGAAAAAAATTTGAAACTAACAAGATGCCAGCTGTCTCTGGAGAAATACAATAGGCCTGTTATTTAAATTCTTTTTTTCCTCTCTTTTTTTTTTTCTTTTTCCTTTTTTTGTTGATTCTAGGTCTTCTAACCAAACCTGAACTTGTGCAACAAACTGATCTAGCTAGCACACTGGCAGTAGGTCTTGGTCTACCAATTTCAAGAAACAGTGTTGGGAACCTTATATTGCCAATTGTGGGAGGCAAGACAATGAGAGAACAACTACGTTTTGTGCACTTGAATGGGATCCAGCTTAGCAGCCTGCTGCAAGAGAATACAGCTGCATATGAAAAAGGTAAATCAGCTAAAAAAAAAATAATAGCATATACAAAAGCAGATTATTTATACATGGTTTGGGCTTTTAAATTCAAGGGTATAGCATGGCACTGCATATTAACCATGCAGTTGAGAGCTGTGTTCAGAAAAATGACACTGAGTTCAGTCTTTACTGTAATCTACTCTGGCACACTGTCTCTAAATGAAGTTTTTTTTTAATGACCAGTGCTACTCCTAGTAGGCAAAAGAGCAGAAAAAATGGTGAAAGAGTAATATTTAAGTAAAACGGCTAGCGTAGTTAAATATCAGTGGTTTCATGTCTGCTATTTATGAGGTATTCTACGTAGGGCATGGATTCTGAGCTATTTGGAGGAATAGCACAATGGCGTGAATTTTCTAGTTTAAATAAAAAGATGCTTCAAGTAAAGCTGGGAAATAATTTAGGGTAAGTTACCTTTTTATTTCATTCTTATGTAGGAATTTACTTGGAATGAGAACCTAGAGTACTGCAAAGTTTCTTATTAAAAATACACGTATGTGTGTATGTATTTGGAGGAAAGAATAAAAAACAAGTGGAAAAAATAAAACCTAGCAAAATGTAGTATTTTACTAGGAAGCAAACTGAAATACAAGTAAGCAAGTTGATAGAATAATTTTGTGAAAAAATTTGAGTCAGAGGATGAAGGCGAATATTTTACCATGGACATTAGAAGATTTTGTTGGCTTAAAGTGACTGTGAGCCTGAAGTCCCTGTCACTTGATTTGTTATCTGTTGAATCATTAAAATAACTGGATAAGAATGCAGAGCTGTGGTGTAGCTATGAATAATTGAAGTGGATAACAATATAAAGTTTTGCAAGATGATCATTGTAGGTCAAGAATTAATTGTCTTTCAACATCACGGCTTCTAATTGTAATTAAACCCTGTCTGGGAGTCTTAACAAAACAAAAGCCATTGATGGTAGCAATATGTCAATAGTAGGACCCGTGCTCCATCTATTCTGATATATTTTTCTGCACAGATTTCCTTGCTTAACCGATTTGTGTCAAGTGAGGAAACTTGCCCTGTTCATGAAGTTTGGAATACAGCTGTGTTACTGAAAATTCCAACACAAAGCTCCATCTGACAGTATTTCTGCAAGTACCAGTGAAACAACCTGAAGATTCTATCAGCTTCTGGTTTACATCATCACTTTCATCTTATTTTTGTCTGGGAACAGCTCAATTTCAACTTGTAGCTTTCATCTGAGAAATGAAATCAAAATTGCTGAGGATGGAAATGTGAGACATTTTGATGCTACTTCCTTGTGACTGCAAACTGCTATTGGAGAAGCTACCCTAAGGGAAAGGGACTGTGGGGCAAAGCATCCATGATGAACTTCTCTTATTTCCATAATGGAGAGTCTCAGTAACATGGGACTAGGTCCAAGTAGCTTTTAGCAGAGTCTTAAGGTAAATTCCCCCTGTTGCTGTAAACATCTTAGAGGGTCTTGTTTTTCTTGAGAGTATCCTAGATGTGCAAGGCTGTATCTTAACGCTTTGGTCAAGATGATTGAGATTGGCAGGGAAAAGAGATGTGCTGTTTGTTCAGTGTTGTTTGATTGATGTGGGTACTTCAGGCCCTAGAAATACTAAAGGAAATGTCACTAACAGTGACTAATGCTGCATGTAGTTTAAAAGCATGCACAAATGGCCCTTTATTTTGGGTGGCTTCTAAGTGAAGATAAATACCATCCCACTTAACCCACTACAGGCACATACAGATGTATGCATGTCTGTCGTGATTCCTATAGGAAAGGGATTATCTTGCAAAGAAGTCATATATTCAGTAATCAGATTCAGCTTCAAGGATGCCTATTTTAAAAAGGGTAAAAAGGAGGACCCTAGGAGCTACTGACCAGTCAGCCTCACCTCCATGCCCAGTAAGGTCGTGGAGCAGATCCTCCTGGAAGACATGTCAAAACACATGGAATACAGGGAGGTGATTAGAGATGGCCAACATTGCTTCACCAAGGGCAATTGTGCCTGACTAATCTACAATGGAGTGGCCTTCTACAATGTAGTAACTCCATCGGTGGACAAGAGAAAAGCTGTAGATGTCATCTACCTAGACTTCTGTAAGGCCTTTGATACAGCCTCCCACAATGTTCTTGCTGCTGTATTAGAGAGATATGGGTTTGATGAATGGACACTTAAATAAATAAGATATTGGCTGGATGGCTATGTCCAAAAATTTATAATCAATGGCTGAATGTCCAAGTGGAAGGTAGTAACAAGTGGTGATTTAGTGAAAGATGTCCCTGCCCATGGTGTCAGGGGTGAACTAAATGATCTTTAAAGGTACCTTCCCTTCCAGCCCGAACCATTCTATGGTTCTATGATTGTAAGTTGGGAAGGTGAGAAGGGAGAGCTGCCCTTTATGTGAGAGAGCAGTGGCAGTGCATGGAGCTCTGCGTGGGGCTAGATGGTGAAACAGTTGAGACCTTGTGGGTCAGGATTAGTGGGCAGAACAACGTGGGCAGTATTGTTATGGGTGTCTGCTACAGTCAGTCTGATTGGGAAGAATTAGTCGGTCTTCAGACAACTTGAGGAAGGCTCATGTTCACCATCTGTGGTGCTCATATGGTGCTTCAACCATCCTGCAGCAGTTCAGGTAACTGGACAGTGAGGTGGACCAAAAAGTGACTCAGCTGCTGGGCTCACATGGTTGTGATGAGCAGTACAAAGTCCACCTGGAGTGGACTAGGCCAGTTGCTGGTGATCAACTTGACACAGGGCGATACTGTTTATCATCTTCCTTAATGACCTGGGTGATGCGACATAGTTCCCCCTCAGCGAGTCTGCACACAATACAGAACAGGGAGGAGTGGTTGATACAGTTGGTGGGTATGCTTCCACTCAGAGGCACCTCAACAGACTAGAGAAATGGACTCGCAGGAACCTCTTAAGATTCAGCAAAGGGAAATGTCAAATCCTACACCTGGGAGGAAATAATCCCATGCACCAGTGCAGGCCAGGTACTGACTGGTTTGAAAGTAGCTTGGTGGAGAAGAGCAAGGTCTCCTTGGGGACACCAAGTTGAATATCACCCAGCAGTAGACCCTTGCGGAGGAAAGGCCAACAGCATCCAAGACTGCATTAGGTCAGTCATCAGCAGGTCAATCCCTCCTATTTCCTCAGCTGTGGGAGATCATATCTGGGGTCCTGGGTCCAATTCTGGTCTCCCCAGTACAAGAAAGGCATGGGTTTAATGTAGTGAGTGCAGCAAATGTCCATGAAGGTAATGAAGGGATTGGAACATCTATCCTACAAGGAGAAGCTGGGGTGCTAGGACTGTTCAGCTTGGGTAGGAAAAGACCCAGCAGGGCTCTTATCAATGTAGGTAATGAATGATGGGAGGGAATAAAGAAGATTGAACTGGGGTCTACTTGGTGGTGCCCAGTGAATAGACAGGAAGCATCAGGCATAAATTGTTATACAGGAAATTTTGTTAAACTAAAAGAAAACTTTTTTTATGTAAGGGTTGTCAAACACTGGAATGAGTTCCCCGTAGAGGTTGTGGAGTCCTCTCCATACCTGGAGACATTTAAGACCTGACTGGACACAGTTCTGAGCACTCTGCTCTAGCTCACCCTGCTCTGAGCCTTTGTTTTTTATTTGTGGACCATGTGAATGCTCATCAGAGTTGTGCTGACAACTCTTGGGCTATACGATTTCTGAATTCTATGAAGTGTGTTGCCAGGTTTTTTGAGGGAAAGAAATCTCAGAAGATAACGCGATTAGGCATCTCACTCTTATTTGCTGCTGCAGGTCCAAGCTTTCCACTGCAGATTCTCAGGTAGTAACAACTGGTGGATCATAACATTTCAGTGGAACGCTAAGAGAAGTGCCTGTCACTGGAGCTTCAGTTTAAAGTGAAAGATACTTGCAGGGATAGTCTAAGCCTTGCTGCTTTTAAAAAAGCTATTACTATTTTCAACTCTTTAGCTCGAAAGAGTAGGTTCTTCTGAAGGGGAAAACATGGAATTCCTGCAGAGAGTATTGTAATTTGCAGAATAGGACACCAATTATTAGTACCTTGAATATGATGACAGAGTCCTGGTAAGAAAAGATTCACCCATTGTAAGCTATAGCATAGTGTATACATTAATTTTTGGTGCAACGTTCCTTTTTAACGCAAAAAGATGAAGTCAAGATGTCAACTGAGATGAATCATAGTCAGATGGGAAGGCAGAATGATCTTTACATGCTGTTTCATGATGAAGCCATGGAGTACCCTGCATTCAGCCACTCCAATGTTACGAACAAACTGGAACAGTACAGAAAAATATCTTTGTCTTCAAGTGTGTTTTAAGTGTATCTGTTAATAAAGAGCAGAATGGAGGCAGCTCAGTAACTTCCCTTCCCACCCCCCCTCCAATGTTTGTTCTCACAAACATGCATTTTGAAATCAAAAGATGGTACAGCATTTCATGGGACTTGGGTTTTGATTTCTTGAGGTACAAAGGAATCTTCACTGTTAAACCTATCTTCAGGTAAATTAAATTTTAAATGAGAAACTTGGCTAAGGGTTTGATTATTTTGAAAATGACTTTGAAATGTACTAATAAATGCTAATGTGAGGTGTTAGGTTTTCTTTTGATAGAGTTGGGCACATGCAGCTAAAAAAAAAAGAATCTGGAAAAGGAGAATAAAAACAGCTGGGAAAAAATGAAGAAGCTGAAAAGGGAAGTATCTAGAAACACACTTTGGGTTTCTGAGTGAGTTCATACCTCTGTGTAAGGTAGGCAGCTGCAGGTATCTAGTAATGCTTCCCTCATGGTCTGAACTTCTGAACATGCATCTGAATGATGAACTAGGATTGTTTCTTTGAAAGGCACTTCATATTGGAATGAAGAGTCACTCTTGAGAGCAGGTTGGATGTTGTTACTAAAATGAGTGTCTGCACTTCAGTTTGGACTAATCCTGGACTTGTATTAGATGTTGATTGAAATAATTTGATGGTTGCTGGGAGATATATTGAAACTGGAGAAGTCACTTTTACATTATCTATTCCTTTCTTATATTTATAGGTGTGGTGGTTTTGGTGTTTTTTGGTGTTTTTTTTTTTAATGATTGCTGACTGTGACTGGAACTAAGTGAAATTTTTATCAAGCAGTTGCTTGGGAAGCATAGCCATTTGCTTGTGATAACATTGGAAGCAGGCTGAAGCAGAAATTGCTAATGTAATACTATGCAAGTAAACCATTGCCAGTGCTTTGGGAAACCTGCAACTGGGCAGGCTTGCTGTGGATTTTGCCTCAAGTTTAACTTGTCTTGTGATTATCCCATGCAGGAGTGACTTGCAGATGTTACCCAGCAGTTACCAAAATGTTTCTCCAACAACCCAGAGTCTAAGGCCCTTCCTGTTTTATACCTACTGCATACAAATGTTTCATTGAACAGTTATCACTGGAGTTCTCAGAGGGAATTTGGTAACCATGGTCCTTTATTCCTTTCTGCAGGATCTTTAAATCATTTACTTAATATATGTCAAAGATGTAAATGTGGGTTTGACTAAAAAAGTCATCTTTCCTATCATGGACAGAATAGGTTTGATGGGCAGTAGCATGGAAAGAGGTAGATGAGAATGAAATGCTAAAAGGATTGAAGAGGTAGACTAGGCAAAAAGCATGAAAAGAGACCAGACAATATGGAGAGAATTTATTTAGATTTCAAAATATAATTTAACTCATTTCAATGTTCTGTTTAATGAAATAGCATCATGTCAAATCTTGGTTTGATTAAAGCTTATTTTAGATGATCCTTTCTGGATTTCCTCAAAAGTATGAATGTTTAACGCTTACTTAAAATATACGGGAAGAGACACTTTCTAGGGAATTCACTGTTCAAAGAACTACAGTAGGGAAATGAAAGTCTGCATGCGCACTGGCAGCTATCTCGATACAGCTCGCTATAGTGTTTGCTCCTGGCTGAATTGTACTTTCTAGCAGATACCTGCAAGCCTCCTGCATAGCAGCATCAACATGTTTTGGATTCTGTTAGAAGTCTTGGGAGACCAGGCTGGACATTCTGAGTTAAACATTGCTTTCTAAAATTCTCACTTTGAATTCAGCCTGTAGTAGATCACAAAGTGTCTTGTAGTGATAAGAGACTTCAAAATGGTAAATACAGTTCTTCCATAACTGAATAAGAATTGTGAATAGAAGTACTTCATTTATCTCTATTCACTTGAAATAAAATTAAAAATGTTTCTGAATTTAATAATGTACTTTTGCTGAAAAGGCTTGACAAAGAACATGGTGGGTTTATTCCAAGTCTGATATACTGTTGATCTACCAGGAGTAAAAATGAGCTGTAACAAGTCTTTGTGACACCAAACTTACTTCAGTCATTGCTTTAACCCTTGTCTGAAACTGTACAGCAAATGTTTTGCCCTAGTGTTAGCTAAGAAGGCAAGGATTGCAGGATGGGAAGATAATGATAGGCTCATTATATAAAAATTTCCAAATTTGCCTTTTTGCCCTTATGTTGTCATTAGCTTTCAAGTGAAATCACAGGGAAATAGCAAGGGTTATTGATGTGAAGTGAAACTAAACATTTTTCTTGCAAAAAAACCAGATACGTGTGAATGTTCACACATAACATAATGTCTGGTGAAATACAAGTCTCTGAAAGTTACTCTCTTGCTTTCCTTGTGGTGTTGACTGAATTTATGTTGTGATTGCATACTATACTCGACCAATATTTTAAATATCATATGGCATGTTGAAGTACGAAGTGATGCACCTATAAAATGGAGAGGGATAACACGTCTCAAGTGCTTTCAGGAACAGCATGATTTTCCACATTTACAATAAAACACAGAAACTGACCTAATTGTTCTATTTTAGATAAATGCTCTTGAAATTAAACTTACATAAAGTGAATAGAATCCTCTTCAGGTGCACGTAGGCTCCACTATAATAATTTTGGCATACATTGTTTTAATTTTTTTTTTAATCTTTGTGCTTGTAGTGAATGTTTACATTTTTTTCCATTTGTGAACAAAATTATGCTCTTCTATTTTTGCCTGTAGAATCTGGTTATTGTCACTGTTGAATGTATCTTTTTGGGAAGTAAAAAGGCTATCAAGACTCAGCTTTTTGTGCTGCAGCTTTTTGTGTAAATGTTTAGTAATGGGAAAGTTGATGATGAAAATCAATGGTAGTTGATTTGGTAGAGAATAGAATAGTAGAGTAGTTTCATGTGTCCTTTGAATCAACTTGAATCATTCTGTTTGTACACCTACCCTTTGGTGTGTATAAACCAGAACAGCTGGTGTAAAATAAGGATTCTGTGGAATAACCAGTGAAGGGAAATAGATCTAGGAGAAAAGCTGCTGCTACTGTGCTTGCAAAGGAATTCTAAAATGTAGGATTTGGCTGTTTGCTTCTTTCCTGTGTCTCCTGTTTTTCTCACTCAAGCTTTTAAAATAAATTTAGAGAGAATAGAGTAATTCGGACATGTTTCTACAGTATAAGAGAGGAAGAAAAGAAACTGTAATGTTTCTGTACCTATATTGAAAAGCATACTCCCATTAAAACTTGAACCCACAGAATTCAATGGTTGATTTAAAATTACTTCCTTCGGGACATAGTGTAGTGCTAGTCTTGTCCTCATCCCCAGTTCTGAAAGCAGACCACAGTCTTCATATATGTTGTTAGTGTTCACCCGCAGTCTTTACCTGTTTACACGTATATTTATCAGAAGACTTAATCAAAACTATTTTTCAACAAGAAACTATTACTTAGAGAACCGATATGTGTCCTGGAGGTTGGCTTGGTTTTCTGAATTTTTCTTAATTTATTATTTGTTTGATTTTGGTTTGGATTTTGTTTATTTTTCTTCAGGTCAGAATTTTTTTAGATGTAGATATGCCATCATGTAATCACCTTCTTCTGCAAGAGTCTTGCTTCCATAGGCTGGTGGCAGCATTGTGTTTTCTCTTTTTTTAATGAAGTTAAACTGTGGGCCATCCTTACATTATAGCAGAATTACTAAGTTTCACTGCTGCAGATTGCTTTGCACCAGGTTCATAGTCCAAATGCCTGAAGCCAAACTGTGCACTTCAGCTGTTAACTTTTCTATTACTTCTTCAAAGTCTCTCATTCTTTGTGTTACCAACTGAGTCTCATTAGCTTTGCAGCAAAATTGAGGTCCCTAATATGGTGTGTGTATCCTTTGACGTTTCCTCCAGAGATCAGCTATTTGATCATTTCCCACTTGGCTTGTACAATATGGCCTGGATAATGAGTGGTTTCAGTGGGAAACATAGCTTTTTTTTTTCAGGATTTAAAGCATTTGAATAAGTTTGTCCTGGAAACCATTTGTAAGAGTAAACAGATGTTTTGATACGTTTGTCACTTTTAGAGGTCTTGACATTTTATGAATTGCTTTTATTCTGAGTAACTGGGTCATTATGGTCTTGCTGCAGGAAGATAATGTAACTTTCTAGGTGTAAAAAAAAGTTTCAACCCAACAGCATATTTTATTTTTACACTATACAAGGAAATATAAAAATACAATCACCTCTCTGATTAATCCTCCTTTGTTCATGGATCCTCTGACCTCTTTTGTTTGTTTGTTTTTTTCTTCTCCTTAGATCCTGGATATGAATATTTTAAGATGGCAGAAAAGTCTCATGGTAATTGGATCAAATTGTATTTAGAGGGGAATAATTCAGAAATACTCCTAAATCTTGGCAAAAAGGTCCTGAAGCAATATTTGGAGGCCCTGAGGACTCTGAGTTCTTCACTAAGCAAACAAGTCACGCAATATGACATGTATTCAATGATGGTGGGGACTGTGATCATTATGGAGGTACGAAAATACAAAATTTCTCTCTGTGAAAAAGCTAAGTATGCAAACATAAAAGTTTCTGGGTTTTGACTACTTAGTGTATACTCTTATTGGTCTTTAGAATTACCGAGTATGAACTCTGAGAGTTGGCTGACTTTCTGCTTGGTTAGTACTCATTTTAAAGTGTAACTTGGCCTTTAAAATTTGTAAGAGAACTTTTGATATAAGCTACTTATGTTTTGGTGTAACAAGTTACAGTAAATGTGCAGATGTGCTACGACTTAAATTACTCCTGTATTAGTTAGCCTTCTACTTTTTGAGTAGCCTTACTGCATTAAAAAAAAAACAAAACCCAAACAAAAAAGTCTGGCAAGTAAGTTCCTACCTGTTTGTCTTTATCTAACAGTGAGCGTAGCTGCTCAGAACAGGCAATACATTGTGTGGGCAATTTTCTACCTGTGTCAGAATGTGCATGTAACTTGAGCCATTTACAGGTGGCAACATTTCAAATTTGTTTGCTTAGGAACTATTTTGATATTGGGAGTTAAAGCTCTTAACTTTTGCAGGGAATGAAGATCATGTATGTGATCATTTATCATAACTGAGGTGGCGCATGGTAATTTATTAAACTCTGGTGAATTTTGTGTCCAAGCCCTTAATAAGCAAAAACACAATCTTTCATTCTCCCATTTATGTGGTAATATCTTACTGTGGACAAAAAATCCAGCATAGCGCTTCACAGGTTTTTTTGATGAACTATGTATACTAGTGGAGTGACATGGGTGACAACAGTATGTATGTTTGTGTGAATTCTCACTATATGTTTTAGCTAACTCCAATTCTTTAAGTATTAATTCCCCTTTTTTTTTTTTTTTTTTTCCTAGGTTCTGCTGCTGCTTCTGCTTAGTGTTCCAAAAGCCCTGAGCAGCCGGGCAGAATTTGAAGTGCTGCTCTCCCCTCCACTATTCTCTCTGCTGTTTTACTTGATGTGTCTGATGCTGTGTGCAGTTCACGTCATTGTATGCACATCGGTACAAAGTTTATGCTTTTTTTGCAGTATGTCCTGGTTAACAGCAATTGGAGTGATGATGCTGATTTCTGTACTCATGTGCATTATTTTATCTGCCATTGCAAAGATGTTTGAGAATTCCAGACTTCTACTGAAGGTAAGAGCATGTGTTAATTACGGTTCAAAATGTTTTGCTCTTTATGGCATACTTTCGGATAAAGTTTTATACAAGTTTTCTCTGGGTACACTTAAAGATATTGTTATTTGTAATGTAATTTAAATAATTTAAAATTGTAATTGAAATGTGGAGTGTTCACTGTGCAATGAAACTGATTCCTATAATGAAGACCATAGAAGTGCTTATTTTCACATTACTTTAAGATATGTTCTACTTAGTGTAAGTTGTTTAGCAGTTGATTTTATGAAATCAGAAACAGTGACGCTGTGTACAAATTTTACGCTGTTACACAGTGGTGTTTCACAATTGCTGTTAAAGTGAGATATATGATGATATTTTGCAACAACATGCACTGGTGATGATCTGTCCTTTCCCAAATACCACAGGCATTAATGCTCTAAGACTAATAGGAAAATACTTTGCTAGTACCGTTTCTTATATTGGTATTCTTAATGCTTTTTTGAAAAATAGTTTTGAAACTGTAACAGAGGGAGCAAAATTAATCTGTCTCTTCTACTTTATAAGTTTTTTAAGTTTAAGAAATTGAGTTTTCTTACAATCTTTGGAATGCTCAGAAATGGTCTCAGTTGTGCAAGTGGTTACTTTTTGTAAAGTACTTGATGAGTTTTATTGTTGTATTGAATGGAATTCAGGTAATTCCAAGGAAATGGAACTTGCAATGTCTTAGTCTTCTTTCACTGTGAAGCTTAGTATGCCAAGAACTGTCAGTCACACCGTAAAATCAGCTTCTTGCTATTTTTTCTGATGCTTGTTAATCGTATCTTTCAAAGGTCTCTGAAATTCAGTAACTTTAATGCTCATGGTACTCTGTTCAATGATGCAAGCTCTGTGCAGTACAGTCTTTTGTCAGTCTGGGTTTCTTTGAGTCATGTTTGGCGTTTTAGTACCTGTGTTTTTAGTGTGAGAGAATGTGTGGCAAGTGTATTGCTTTCATGATGTGATGACATACTCCATCAAGTTAAAAAGAAATCTTCTGACATAGAGAAACATTTAATAACTATAACTTAATAACATTTAATAACATTATATTTCATATAATTGAGAAAATTCACTACTCCTGAGTGGAGATTAATATTTCACTCTGCAGTTGTATGTTTTAATTCCTGAGCTTAATTATAAATTTAAATTCTTCTAAGACTGCTGATTTTTATTATTCAAACTACACGAGTTTATAATTTTTGTTTCTGTAATTTCTGAATTCATGTTATTCCTTCTTGGAAATGCTACTTTTCTGAGAGAAGCCTTGGACTAAAAGTAACGCCCTACTCTCCTGAAGACAGTTTCCCTCCCCTCCCCCTTTTCAGTTTTCTTCTGTGGAATTAATTTCAGTGTATTGAAAGTGGTTAAAAAGGGAGCTGTGGATAAAACATGGTGTTTCATTGTTATCTTTATATTTATCTGCTACAGACCATTTAGGTATTTTGATTGTTTAGATAGACTAAAACAGAGTAACAAACCGAAGTTTCATCTTGGGTATAGCTGCTAACAGAACAGTCTTTGTAAGCATAAATCACAACTTGCTTTTGGTACTGAGAAGTTTTGTGTCAGAGTAATAGTAATGTTTTGCTGCCAAAACTAGTGATGCTTGTGGGTTTTTTTTTTAAAGACAAATAAAGAAAGCAAAACTAATCAATGTGAATGGAGAAATCTGCTGAATGACATGTCTAACTGTACAGTTGTTAACACTGTTGATACTTAGGGGTTGGTCTTTAAATGGACTCAGTTCACTTCTGCCATTTCTGAGTTATTCTACTAAGGCCTTTATTAGGTTTCTGTACTTTATTGTAAATGAGGTAAAAATTTTTCTTAGAAAAAGTGAAAGAATATGGTCTTGAAATAATAATTAATGATCCAGCATATCCTGTAAAAACGTAATGTTTACTTGCTATGCAGTGATAAACATTGGAGGACAAACATATGGTAGACAAGCTCATTTTTCATCTTAATTGTTGTCAGTTTTTCTAACTTCAGCAAACGCTAAAACCCTAAAAATGGGTTTTTTAGTTTTGTTTTAGTTTTGTCTAGACCTGTGTAAAATTTACAGACATCCCACTTCAATACAGTTGAGAGCAATGACAACAGATTATAGCTTTCTCTTCCAGGTTGATAGTCTCAAAGCAATTCAACCTGTCTGTGGCCAGAAATCTTTCTTATGTGGCTAGAGATAAGTTAATTCTTTGTGACACCTACTACTCTATGAGTAACTTTAAAGTAGCTTTATATGACCTAGGAAAAATGTTTTCCTCCTAGATCAAATAATTATGTCTAGGAAGATGCTGCATTCCTTGGCTATTACTTGGTAACAGCCTATTCTAAATTTAGTACTGGTTGACAGGTACAAGCTCTGCCTTTTTAGTTTGGCCTGAGTCTTAGGGTTCACTCCCACTTGTTCTTGAAATGTTTTCATCCTTGTTGGTGAGAGACAGCTGCAGGTGTGAACAACTTCCTGCAGGTGGTTTATACATTGCTAATACAGCTGCTCTGTCAGTGATCACAGCAGCAATTGCAAAATGTCTCCTGGTATTCAGAACTTGAGTTGGGTGGAAAGGCTTTTCTTATGAAAGGGTTTAATTGCTAGCTCTCTGACGGAGGCAAGTAATTTCTCAAGGAATGCATGAGAAGGAAGCACCCATATAATCTGTACTATTCCACTTCTGGATTGAATCTTTCTGAGGAACTTTAGAGGAGGAAGTGCCAATTCCATACCCATAATCTGTTGGCCATTTCTGATGATTCCTCCACCTAGTCAGCTATGCCTAGGGAGCATGGACAGGAGTATGTGAGAAGTTCTATCTATCTATCCCTTCTGTTTCAGTTGTCTTCCTTCCCCACCCTGACTTTGTCTGTATATCTGCCTTTGAGGACGAACTGAGCAAAACCAGACAAATTATATCCAGATACCGTATGCAGTTTCATATCTTTGCCTCTAGCACCTCGCATTCTTCATATGAGAAACCACTGCACCTGGAATTTCCCCCCTGGTTGATGTCGGGGCTTTAGATCCAATCCCCTATTGCTTGAAGAAGGATATTTCAGCAGCAGCTTGTCTCCTTTTCCTCTTTGGTACCAACTATGAGACAGTCTGGAATTCAGTAAGTGGAAAAAAACCCCTTTTATACAAAGGTGAAATACATTGTCACTGGCAATTACACTTCTCTCATTTTAGGACAGGGATCGTAGGATCATAGAATGGTTTAGGTTGGAAGGGACCTTAAAGATCATCTAGTTCTAAACCCCCTGCAATGGGCAGGGATGCCTCCTGCTGGGCCAGGTTGCTCAAAGCCCCTTCCAGCCTGGCCTTGAACAATTCCAGGGATGGTGCATCCACAACTTTGCTGGGCAGCTTGTTCCATTGCCTTATCACCCTCTTCCTAATATCTAATCTAAATCTCAGTTTAACTCTGTTACCTCTCAGTAACTGTACTCTGTCAGTTTAAAACTGTTACCCCTCATCTATCACTACACTCCCTGGTAAAGAGTCCCTCCCCATCTTTCCTGTGGGTCCCTTTTAGGTACTGGAAAGCTGCTATAAGGTCTCCCCAGAACCTTCTCTTCTCCAGGCTGAACAACCCCACCTCTCTCAGCCTTTCCTCATAGGAGAGGTGCCATGTTGGATGTCACTGATCACCTCCCTGTTTTCCATATGCCTTAGTATAGTTCCCAGGAGGATCTGCTCCATGATCTTGTTGGGCACGGAGGTGAGTGACTGGCCTGTAGTTCCCTGAGTCTTCCTTTTTTTCTATTTTTAAAAAAGGGTGTTAAGTTTCTCCTGTTCCAGTCAGCAGGCCTGCCACAACTTCTCGGATGTGATGGATAGTGGCTTAGAAACTTCATCCACCAGTTCCCTCATGACTTGCAGATGTATCTCGTCAGGTCCCATGGATTTGTGCACCTTCAGGTTCTTTAGATGGCCTTGAACCTGATCTTCTACAGCAGGCTGTTCCTCATTCTCCCAGTTCCTGCCTTTGCCTTCTGCAACATTGGCAGTGTGGCTAGAGCCCTTGCTGGTGAAGACTGAGGCAAAAAAGTTGTTGAGTACCCTCAGCCTTGTCCATGTCCTGGGTGACCAGGTCTCCCATTTCCTTTTGGAGAGGGCCCACATTTTCCCTAGTCTTCCTTTTGTCACTGACCTACCTGTAGAAGCTTTTCGTGTTGCCCTTGATATCCCTGGCCAGATGTAATTGTGTCAGGGATTTATTGTTCCTAACCTGATCCCTGGATGCTCGAACAATTTCTCTGTATTCCTCCAGGGCTACCTGTCCTTGCTTCCACCCTTTGTAGGCTTCCTTTTTGTGTTTGAATTTGTCCAGGAGCTCCTTGTTCATCCATGCAGGCCTCCTGGTGTTTTTGCCCAACTTTCTCTTTGTTGGAATGCATCACTCCTGAGCTTCGAGGAGGTGATCCTTGAATATTAGCCAGCTTTCTTGGGCCCCTCGTCCCTCCAGGGCTTTATCCCACAGTACTCTACCAAGCAGATACCTGAAGAGGCCAAAGTCTGCTCTCTTGCAGTCTAGGGTGGTGAACTTGCTGTGCACACTCCTTGCTGCCCTAAGTATCTTGAACTCCATCTAGTATCTGTTGGACATGAAGATGCTTATTTTCAAGTCACCTTTGAAAATATCTCCATTTGGCTGTAAATGGAACAGTTATCAATTCAAGCATCTCCTGTTTGAACTAGAAAGGTGGAGGAATATCTGAAATTGGTGCATACATGTTTTCTGGAGTTTTATCTAGTTGGTACTTCAGGACATAGCAGCAGCAGATAAGATCATCTGCTTCAAGTTGATAATACATGAATGAGGAACAATGTTTTCCAGAAGGTTTGTGTGTGTGTTTGTTTTTCCGAGACTGGGCCAGATAGAAATAAAAAATACTGCATTCTCCATCCCAAGTCTGTGATTATGTTGCTACCTGAGACATAACTGAAAATGTGGAAAGCTGAAGTATGTGTTATGAAG